AGACTCATTAACTTTTAAGCACCCTGTGCCTTTAGGGAAACTGCTATGATCAGGAGTTAATACATCACATGGTGATATGTAACTAACATACAGTGTAAAGGTCTCTGTCCATGTGTAGTGTGATTATAGATCAGGTCTAAGTTCTATATTAATACTGTGAAAGTATCAAAGCCTCAGTCCACAGAGAAACACATATTCAGAAACTGGGGATTAAACAAACTGTCAGGACTTCCTGTAACTTTATGATGTCACAATGAAGCAGTCACCGCTCTCAGCCATGTCCCAAGCCCCGCCCACCTGGACCCACCATCCACACGGATTTGGTTTCCCTGAGTGTTTTACCTGAAATCTGCTATATTTGTATTAGATGACTCAGAAAATACTCAGCCAATCAGAAGAGAGACTCAAAGCCTCCTCTCTTCTGATTGGCTCACTGACCTGTTGTTACTAGAGCTCCAGAGAAAAGCCTGAGAGAGGAGATGTAAAACTACACTGAGGTGGTTTTATATATCTTCATATGGATAATCAAACATGACTTAAACAAATAAACGCTAATGTTGCGTCACACCTGCTTGATGTTTAAATAACTAGCTGCTCGCTAACACATTAGCCATTCAACTTTAAAAGGTGATAATATGTCAGTGTTGTTTTTCCAGTTTGTTTTCCACCAAATGGACAAAAAAAAAAAAAAAAAAACTGCAGGTTTAAGAAGCAAAGATTATCCATTTTTGAGCGATTAGCATCTACTGAAAATGCTTTAGGACAATGAGCACCACCTATTGATGATGCTGTGGTTATTTTCTACTTTAATAAACGCTCTATTAAGGTGACACAAGAAAACCTCAGCAATTCACCCAACAAGTAATTATTCTTGACCTTCATAATGTGACCTGTCCCTGACATGAGTAAGAGGAGCGCTTTGACATTTGCTGCTCTTCGTCAATGAAAGCACAGACGCAGAAAGCTGGGGTTGCACGGACACGTATTGATCCGGCTGTCTCGCGGTTAGCTGCATGGATAGATGATAGGCACAGGAGGAGGAAAAAAGAGTGAGCTGTTTTCCAGTATGTACAACAAAGGCCGCTTTTGTGAGGCGCTCGTGTGTGTCCATCCATCTCGTGCTGTCCGCTCAACCCGGCGAAGATGGCAGGGTAATTCACTTAGCCTCCACTGTGGATGGCCATTATCTCTGGGTGGTGTGCCTGTCGGCGGGTGTGTTCTGCCATGATATCATCGTGGCACTCACTTAAGCGTACATCACCGCTGATTGATATCTGCCATCTGGCAATAATTGCTAAATTGTGGACCTTTTAAGGCCGTTTGGCTGTTCACTCTTTTCCTCAGTAACACAACTTCTCAGTTAACCCTCGGTTAATCACATTTCTCAGTTCAGCAGTGAACCTGAAACAATTACAGCCGCACTGATGCTCTCATTATAAAAGCTCCAGGTTTACATGGTTGCTGCTTTTTATATGTAATACGCAGCAGATTCAGAAAGAGAGGACTAATGGAGATCAATGCATTTTAACAGAATGTAAACAGAAAGCTGTTATGTATAAAATAATCTATTCAAGTCTAAAACTCCCTCTTAAATTCTTTTTTTTTTTTTTTTTTTAAAAGGAAGTGAGTAATTCAGCAGAATGAGACAAATCCTTTGTTCTTTGACGTCTGTACGAGTTTATTTCAAGAAACGACTGCAGTCAACTCTTGTTGTGACTGAAGTCTTTTATGACAGCCTTTCCTTTTTTATTCTATCCTTTGTAAAAGAAATTCAGCAAAGTAAGTTCTTTTTTCTTAAGCTATAAAGAATCAACAATTTGAAAAAGGCTCAACAAACAGGGACTGTAGATGAAATTGTTTCGGTAAGAGCATAATTTACTGAGTTGAAGAGCAGGCAGAACAGGAAAACAGGCAGGTAAGGGGTCATTAACAAAACAGGTATGAACAATAAGAGAAAAAGGCTGAAACACCTGGGCTATGGTTGAAGAGTAAAAAAAAAATATCTCATTTCCTAACCACTTTTCATCGACTTCAATGGAAAACATCACAAGGTCGTTAAAAGATTTGAAGGATAATTCAAAAAGGACCAAAGAAAAGACTGAGAAAGATAAATACATGGAGGATAAATACAGTGACGTCAGTGCAGAACACCTCGGAAAATAAAAACTAAACAAACAGGACTGAAATTATGAAATAATAACATGAAAGGAATATACAAGTAGAAAAAGTTGAGCCATTAAAATAATGATTAAATAAAAATAAGGAATTGAGCAAGGGGCCAGAGTAAATTATAGATACTTCCGGGTTGTTTCACACGTTCCTAAGCAACAAAGATTGAAGGTCAAGGATTGGGCCTTCAGTGCTGGTAACTCCCGGCTAAACTATCCCAGTTGGCCATGGGATGTAACAAGCTCTCTGATTGGTTGAGCTAACCAGTCATATCATATCCATAGACTGTATATAAAAAAGGGTTTTACCAGCACTGAAGGCCCAGAGTGTCGCAGAAAGGCTAACAGGAGAAGCTAATCGATTAGCTAATAGGAAAGAGAAAAGCAGCTGGAAAAAGGAAATGGAAACTCAAGAGGGAATCCAGGAATGTATATAATGTAATGTGTCTCAAATTCTATTATTTATTCATGAATTAATAAATGGTGTATTTATTTAGTGCTTTATGCCGTTTTTGTAAATCCATCCTTAAAATTGAAATTTAATAAATGCTTTATTACTTTTCCATGTGACATCCCTGCGCCTCCATACACCACCATCCCCACCCCAGTAATTCTCATTCAGTCAGAGTAGCAACACAGTACAAATGGTGGGAAAAGGTTAATAATTAGCGGTCATCCTCACCAGTACCAGGCCCGACTATAACCGTGAACGCATCTGAAGGGTAAGCTAGTCCAGTTGCCTTCGTCTGGCACTTAGAAATACCATGAGGTGGATGACTGAATCTCCACAGACTGTGTATGTCACCAGGTGAAATGTGCAGGTGTGTGTCTTGGCACAGCTTTCGTCAACACCAATAGTCCACACTCGTCCTCATCTAATCGCACAGGTAGTGAGTGTGTGTTGTAAACAAAAGAAAACCCACAATCCATAAGGGATCTGATTTTGGGAACCGGTCCAGCTCATCGCAGCGGACTGTGCTCTTCTCAGCCAAATCCAGTCCACTGAGAGCTCATCACAGGGAGAGAAAATCAAATGGAAAGCCCTGCTGTGCACCAGCAGGGCAACAGGTAGTTCAAGAAAGGAACATCAACAAGCCATACGACTTAATGGAAAAGAAACTGCATCATGTATTGAGAACTGAGCATTCATGTAAAAAGGAGTTTAAAAGAGTAGCTTGTAGAGGTGTTGCTGTGAAACGTCCTTGAATCTGAATTCTTTATTTAGCTGTTGACTGAAAGCTCCCGGGAAGTAAACTGGGGGAGTGAAAGAAACGAAATGTTCAGCTTTTTATTTGGCCTTGATATTGGGCCTCAGTCTGACACCGTAAGGTCATGGTGATCTTTGTATACAAGATGAACATTTTCAATTTCCCTTTTATCTAAGTTGTTTTTCTTTTGAAAAACTTTTTGGAAAAAATGTCTGAAAGTCCCCCTCAGTCACCTCGCCGTTATGCCGGTCATCACAGAACTCAATAGATAAGAGCAGAAAGCTGTTTGGTGTGTTAGCTGAAAGGGCGCCCGTGCGGTTGGTTTACAGCATTTATTTATTTATTTATTTTTTGAAGTGCCATTTGTGGCAGATCAAAGCGATCCAGAAACACGAAAGGTGGTGGAGACGAAGAAGAAGAAAATACTTATTACCAGAGGGAGACGGGAGCAAATTGGTGTGGCAAAAATAAAAATAATTTCATATCTGCTGGATATTAAATGCTATACATTCCTGGTTTGCATTGCTTTCTATGTCATTATACTCTAACACCCTCAGACACACTTGATGATGTTTTTCATTTAAACCCTAATCACACTTTCAGAGCGCTGTATGAACTTCCAGTGTCGTGATATTTTTTCTGGCTCATCTTTTCTTTTTAACTGCAGCAGGATGTGAAAAAGTTTCATCCTCCTACATTGTGGCTCATGGTCTTTTCTTCAACCTTTGTGTCATTTCTTGCGCTCACAGGTACTATCTGGACTTAATGTAATTCAGGTGACGAAGGATGTTTTAAAAGAAAGTGTTGGGACTACGTGACTGAAATAAAAAACATATTATTCACGCAAAGGGAAGAAAGTAATGAACACTGATGAAAAGGAACATGATATAGTCTACACCCAGATCAATAGACAGTGTTGGAACAAGGACCAAAGCAAAGGATGTCTGAAAAAAGGCAGACCAGCGAGCGTGGGAACTCGGAGCAGCACATAATCTCAGGAGGAAGAGTTTGACATTTTGCTTACTTGTCAAGAGTTAAACGAAAAGATAGACACTGCTCTCATGTCTGTATGCTAATACAGGCAGTTAGCTTATCGTGACATTCAAAAACGAAGAATAAAAATGAAGTGTCGGGGTTGTGTGCCTCTGCCAACCAGTCAAGATGCAGGAAATATGGTCACAACCTCCTTTTCCTGACTTACAGCATTGAATAATGGCCAGAAGTGTTTTTGTAGATGGTTCTGATGTCATAGTGAAGTTGACCTTTGACCTTTTGGCTATAAAATGTCATTACTGCATCAATTTATCCTTATAGACATTTGTGGTAATTGAGTCATTATTAGACTATGAATTTGAAAGTTATGGCAAAAAGTAAAGATGTTTCTGAAGAACGGTTTTGAAGCTCAGAGTGAGCTGCTGCACCATCGCCATCTTGGCAGTGCCTGACTCCACCCCTAATTCCCAGATAATTGAAAAATGGGCAAAGACATCTAGCTCAAGGGAAGATAAGGAATAAATGTTTCCTAAAATGTCAAACTAGAAATCCATTCTTAACACATACATGTCTTAGCGCTAACTTACATGCTACCAACAATCATTTCACGTCTCTTTGTTTGTCCCTGCAGGAATTTCTATTACATCACCATGCTTCGTGACCCTGTGTCACGCTACCTCAGCGAGTGGAAACACGTGCAGCGCGGGGCCACATGGAAAACAGCACTCCACATGTGTGATGGCCGCCCGCCCACTCAGGACGAGCTCCCCGCCTGCTACAGCGGCGAAGACTGGACAGGCGTGCCCCTGGCAGACTTCATGAACTGCCCTTCTAACCTCGCTAACAACCGCCAAGTCCGCATGCTGGCTGACCTCAGCCTGGTGGGCTGCTACAACATGTCCTCCATGAACGCGCTGGAGCGAGGCCACGTGCTGCTCGCCAGCGCCAAGGCCAACCTGCGCAACATGGCTTTCTACGGCCTGACGGAGTTCCAGCGCAAGACGCAGTACCTGTTCGAGCGGACGTTCGGCCTGCGCTTCATCCGGGCCTTCACGCAGATCAACAGCACGCGCGCGGCCAGCGTGGGAATCAGCGAGAAGGTGCGGTGGCGCATCGAGGGGCTGAACGCCCTCGACATGGAGCTGTACGAGTACGCCAAGGAGCTGTTCCTGCGGCGCTACCAGTACAACCGGCAGAGGCAGCACCAGGAGGAGCGGCTGAGGAGGAGGCAGGAGAGGCAGCACAGGCAGCGGCTGCACAGGACCTATCTGGCCGAGCTGTGGAGACTAGGAGGAGGAGGCGGGGGGGAGGAGGAGGAGGAAGGCGATTTGAAGTTGCTCAAGGAGGAAGCCACTACAGAGGACTACAGCAGTCAGGTGGTGCGGTGGTGAGGAGAACACAGGAACTAAAAACACCAAAGCACAGACTGATCGCTGTTCGGTTCATTGTGCTTTACTCTCCTCTCTCCATCTCCCTCCGTCTCGCCTCCGCTGTGAATCTGCCAAAACCTCCTGCCCTCATGGCCTCATGACGCTTTGATGGACCGCCGAATGGTGTCTTAATATTTATGATGGATGTATTTGTCATGGCAACATAAACATTTTGTATTTATGTTTTTTTTTTCTTATGGAACTGCAGTTGTGAAATGTATTTATTCCTTAGCAGGTGCTTTGAATGTTCTCAAAGCCGTAAAAAAAATGTTTCTTAAATTTCACTAAGAATTAGTCGAACTGAAAAAAAAAGAAAAGAAAACCTTGCCTCATGAAGAAGGCCGATTCTAGTATATTTTCAAAATGGTGAGTGACTCGAAGGATCCTCTGTGTCATGTTTGTGATCTAGCGCCGTATTGATCAGTGAAATCTTTGTAGTTCCTCTGTGGTGTTTGGCTTCATAAGAATATCAAAGCACAAACTTGGCAATAGTCTGCAGTGTGTTTTTCTTTCTGACTGATTAAGCTGCGATATACAGAAACAATCAAAGCAATTTCTGGCAGGAAATGTGTTCAATAAAAATATGCAGCATCCAGTGATGTAAATCTGTCCCTGATGGACTCTCTCTCCAGTAACGCATGTGTACACGCACGTGTTCCTGCTTTTGCTCCTTTTTTTTTCACAGCATGTTCTCACCATAAAAATCTGAAATCTTCATTCGGTGTGCCAACTTCTTCCACATCCACACACGTACAGACACACTGATGAGGAGAGCTGCAGGCCCTGAAAGACAGGCTGTCAGAGCCAGTTTCGGTGCACTTACATCACAGTGAGAGAACATTGGTATTTCCACCATTAGGGCATTGATCACAGGCTCTGCGCTCCCAAATTGATCATTTAAAGTTCAATTGACCGTGACTGTGGCGCAGCAGAAAATAGAAGAAAAACTCTGTGGCTTTCTGCACGCTTTTTCCCCCCTCCATAATCTGACAAACATACAGCACTCAGATCGACCGACGCTTCCATTTGCACTTTAGTAGAAAAAGTCTGTTGTAAAACATTCCCTCAGACAACAGGCCGATCAGATGTAACCAATATTAATATCCTTTTTCTGGAAAAAGCTTGCTGTAATAAGCACTTCCTGGCCACTCCATGCAGGCGTTTAGTTCAAGAGAAGGAAATGTCCATAGATTAAAATAGCCTTTCATTCCCAGCTGCAGTATCTATTCTATGCTAGAAAGATTTGAATTATATAAGACTGTGATTATGATGCTGGATCTTCTCTGAAAAAGTGGCAGACACCTCAAATATTAAACCACCTCCATCTTATATCATATTCTGATTCTTTGTTATTAGACACGGCTTAGTATTTGTTTTGAAATGTGAGCTCAGTCATAAACCAGGAAGGGCAACGGAGCGGAACGACATCTGTCATCCAGGATGAAGCAGTTTGCAGCCAGTGATAGACAAATAATGTAAAAGCCTCTGTTATCTGAGGAGAATTTGTTCCAGGAGGATAAATGGATGTTAAGTGTTTCCATGTTGTCAAAGATTTCTCCTTAGTAGTGAAACATTTTAGTGTTAATGCCACCTTCAAAGAGCTATGACTCCAATGCTTTGGTTCTTTAGTTGTCAGCACTCTCTATACAGCAATAAAGACAGCAGTACGTGGGCTTTCAATATGAGAAATGTGCTGCCTGCCTTGTTAGCTCATGGGGAAGGTGAATGCATCTGCACAGAGAGCTCAGCTAAGTGCTCAGACAACCTGAGTCTTTCACAGATCAGCAGCTGCCGGAGATTCCTGGCTGTAAAATCATTTAATCACACTGTCGGGGAGCCAAATGTCCTTTTGCTATCACTTTTAAATTTCCATCCATTTCCAAAGTATTGTGAACTATGTGTTAAATCATTTATTAGACATTCAAGAAAATAACTCCTCTAAACAAAAAGTAGGTTCTTCTACAAGTCTCAAACTCCTTTGTGTTGAGAAAAATTTGAAATATTGCTGGACACTGCATTATGACAGACAAATATACTAATGATAATGGAAAGTGCAATATGTTGTTTGTATAAGAGATAATTTAATTTTTGTCTATTACTGTTAAAAATTAGCTAAATGGCTCAAATTTTCCAATTTTTTTCTAAGTTTAAATAAAAGAAAAATAGCGTTAAGTGACTTAAAAGTACAGTAACTGAAACCTGCAAAGTTTCATTATAAAAACATAATTTTTAAAGCACAAAATAGCGTCAAAATAGCGTCAAATTCACAGGCTAGATCCATGCCAGCGGTTCTGTGAGACTGTTTTGTGTCTGTATACTTTGAGCTAAGAAGTTAGCATGCTAACATATGTTCACAATGATCAATACTAACATGCTGAAGCCAAGTAGACATATGTTAAGTGACTCAAAAGTACAGTTTACAACTGTGCGCCATCTTTGTTTAGCTTGTTAGCATGCTAGCATATGCTAACTATCAACACAAAGTAAAGCTGAGGCTGTGGTAGGGTTGCTAACCGTCCAGTAAAATGCGGCTTTATCCCGTGTTTTTAAGACTCAATTCAGTGCAAATCAATAGGAGATTAATATTACAGGTTAATAATTTTGTTTGTTTGTGAGCAAAAAAATACCAGTTTAAAGCTCGTGCTAAACGGTTCAGTAACATGCACAGAGATATAAACCCACAAACGTTTGTCAGTATTAACATGCTACACACCGTTAGCTCGGACAGATGCTCTGCAATTCAACTGCTCAGTTCATTCAACAATAACCATGAGTACAAGTACAAACGTACAGTTTAAGTATTCAGATTTACCGGCATCATAGACAAACAAGATGGCGACTCCCTACCTGTGTAGCGGGCGTGAAGGTCAACCATCTGTCCATTCCTCCATTATTTCTGTTCCTTTGGTCCGTAAGTGTCCACAGGAAGAAAAATCAAAAGGTTTTTATCATAAAAGTATTCCAATTTCTCAATATCTTCTTCTTTTTCGCTTTTTTCTTCGCTTTCTTCTTCTTCTTCTTCTCTTTCTTCTTCGTCGCATTCTTCTTCTTCGCTTTCTTCTTCGTCGCATTCTTCTTCTTCGCATCTTCTATGCTCGTTTACTGCCCGATTATGAAGTCGTTTTTTCTTCTTCTTCTTACATACAGTCTATGGTTGTAACCAATCAGTGACCCAGCTAACCTTTTCTCTGCTTAGAGAAAAAATAAAATAAAATAACATTAATATCTGATTGGATAACTCTATTTTCATGGTTTTAGGACGGTAACCATTTCACTTCAGAGGCAAAAATAATAATTGTTATTTTTATATACATACATAGAATATATAATAACATATGTACGGTTCATCCTGAGCAATTTACTCAGCAATTTACCACAGATATGGGGGCTAAAGGAAAAGTGGGGGAATCAATAAAATGGTGTAGTGTAGCATAAATTAAATTTCTAACACCAATGCCAATTTTAATTTGAAAAAAATATACTTTATAAAGACACAAAACAACTTCATATTCACTGTAGAGTTATTTACAGGTATTCCACCATCACACTGACAGGACATGACAGCATGTTGTCAAACTTCTTTTCTGCATCAGTCCTTAAAAGGAATCCACACTCACTAAATTACACTCACAAGACTTCCAGCCAAATAAAACGTATGGATAAAGGTCTAACTTTAAATTCAAATTTTATAGCATTACTTATTTACACTTAAAGGGTTGGCACACAGTTTCTGCCCAAGACAAACCAAAACTAAAGGGTAGTCTGCTTTCATCCAGCTTTCCTTGTCCATGTCTGAGTGAGTGAGTTTACATTATGTCCACGGTATGAGTCTAAGAGAGGTCAGAGGAAGGTGGCGGACAGTTTTCACTCATGCAGCAGGCATGTCACAGCCTGCCCTCTTGATGGTGGTTATGTGGAGCAGCAACCTGGTCTTGGTCAGCCAACGTTTCCAGTGGAAAGTGCTGAGGAAGGCGTTCCTAAACTTGTCACCTGACAGAGTGTACAGAGCCAGGTTAAAAACCGTGTTGAGTCCAGCCAGAGGCCTGGAGACAATATACGCCACATCGATGACGTGCTGCATCATGCACGACGTCTTCTGTATCCGCGTTTCTATCCGCAACACGCGCAAGATGTGATATGGCAGGAAACACACGACAAACACCACCAGGATTAGCACGGTCACGCGTCGCGCTCGCACACGACTGGGACTGGCCGTGTAAGGCCCCTCTGCTAACTTCTTCACTATACCGATGTAACACATGAACACCACCACTAGGGGGAGAAGAAACCCGAGTGCAGTGAGCAGCCAGCTGTACCAGTGCACGTTGTTCACAGGTTCGGTGCTCGCAAAGTCCAAGCAGTAGGTCTTGTTGTCGCATTTAACCGGTGATATAATCACCATCATAGGAGTGGTTTCAGCAGCAGCGATGATCCAGACAGCTGAGCACGCACATATACCCCAAAACTTCTGCTCCACCTGTGCTGCCCTCAAAGGCTTCGCCACCACCACGTAGCGGAAAACAGCAAGACACGTTAGGAAGAGGATGCTCCCATAGAGGTTAAAATGAAACCCAAAGCGCACGTAGCGGCACATGAAGTCGCTGAGCGTCCACGACTCCCCGCTGCTGTAGTAGTAAACCAGGAAGGGCATGCTGAGGACGTAGAGGAGGTCGGTCAGCGCCAGGTTGACCATGATGATGCTGCTGCTCTTCCAGGGACGCAGCTTTGTCAGGTAAATGCAGATGGAGGTTACATTTCCCACCAGGCCCACGATGAAGATGGCGGTGTAGGAGGCGGGCAGGAAATAGTGTCTCATCAGTCGGTCTACGTCAGTGTAGTTGCCATCTTTTGTCTTGTTGCAGATGCTGGCCATAGCTGCGCCCTGAGGAGTAAAAAAACACAATATTACAAACTAAACACAATTAGCCGACCATTCAAAACGTAAAACCCGTATTAAGTGATTTGTTTTCGACCATTTGTGGGTGAGAAAACATCACCGAGTTGATATTGGCTAACACGTCGGCACAAGTACACTCTGTTTGGGTCTCCTCCAACTCTTGAAAACATCTGGATTTTTTTACCTGCTAACAGCTCCACTGGTTTCACAAGCTACTCACTCGCTGGAAACCAAAACATTAAAGCGGTGCGCCCTAAAACCAAAACAATGAGCTGAAAAATGCTAAAACGCCCCAAAGAGTGGCAGGTTATTGTGAACCATAGTTACGTTTTGTTGCTAGGCGACATCTAGTGGTCATAGTAATTACGACAGTAGCAAAGAGAAAAGTGCGGCGACGTAGTTGCTGCTGTCGGTTCAGGTTTTTTACTTTACAAATTATTATTTTAATTTTTCACTATATCATTTTTTTCAATCTTCAATATAGTATTATTGATCAAATATGAATAAATGCTGCGTTTATGCTTTTTGGTTAGTTAATGGTTGTTTTGAGTGGATTAATATCTCAGTTTAAATGAATACATGTACAGTGTGTGTTTTTTGGGGTGAGGGGAAAAAAATAGAGCGAGCGAATCGTCGTTGCCTTTTCCCTCACCTGTCATATCACTGTCAGTGGCAATTACTGCTCGCAGAAGGGAGGAGAGAGGAGAGGGAAGAAGAAAAAAGCCGAAGCCGAGCACACTTGGAAAGAAACAAACAATCAAGCAAACTCAATCGGAAAGAAACAAACTAAATCCTCTTCTTTCCTGGTCGACAGTCTGCGAGCCTCTCAGGATATGACAGCACCTATGGCTTCCTGGCTTGATGGCAGCATCCTGTAATGCTGTCAGTACAATCTCCTCTCATTATGGATGTGAGGAGACGTGCAAGGCGTCATTTACACAGAGCGTGTACGCTCAGATTTCACACGGCAGGAACTGGTACTCATTAAAATGATTATATCTGTGGAGAAACACACATTTTATCCAGAAGCTGAATAAGATTTGTTCACTTTTTTTTTTTTTACTCACTTTCAGTTACAGTGTCCTCATCGGTGTTCGCTCCCTCAGCCTTCAGCGTCTCATCTCTGTCGTTCCTCCTCCCACTCACTCCTCTTCCCCTCCAGTTATCCACACCCAGGGGGAAACTCCAGAATATTTTAGTGTGAAAGCCCACCGTTGTGTGATTCACCTTTAGGCCATGTGCATCAACTTCCTGGTGTGATACTTGAGCTGATAAAGCTGAAGAGTCACTCTATTTACACAGATCAGGTGTCAGGTGAACTTGCAGAGAATAGGGAAAGGCCAGTCCGGCAAAACACTCAGTACTTGTTGTCAAATTAAACTCTTCAGTGCACCTTTTGTTAAAAAATAAAAAAGATCTTAGTTGTTTCTATTGAGGTCTTTGTTATTTCTTCAAACAGGCATGTGAGCACCTCAGACTGACACTGCAGAGCTAAATTTGGCACAGACACAGACCTTGGTTTCTCATTAAAGCGATAAGGAAGTTTAAAGATTTCCTGGAAATCATTGTTTCAATGATAGTGTCATGACTAAGTGTTAATATTTTTCAGACCTCTTTCCCTAAACTTAGATGTATAGTGTTAAAATACATCATGTATATGTAAAAAAAAATAAAAAATCTGATTCAAATTAGCTCTGAAGCTAATTTTCAATCAATTCCAAATATCTATACATGAAGAAATGAAATGCTGAAACCTGTGTGGACACTGTGTCGGATACACGACTCTTCCTCCTGACCTGTGCACATGTTAAATGTCATTGTGAGCAAATCTTAAAGCTTGCACCACGGTTACACACACAGTGGTTCCCAGTGCAAGAGACTGATTTCTATCAGTCAGTAACAGCACATATGATTGGCGTGTTAGCATCAGTTGCTTATGAAGCGGTTACAGAGCAACATAAACGTCCATCATCATCATAATAATAAAAACAATACAAGTTCCCTTTGTCTTTTTTTTTACTTTTTATGTGGGAAAACCATGTTAAACAAAATATGAAAAATCTATCTCAAATATTGCAAATGCAAATTTTCACACATGAATTTATTATTTTTCTACTTTTTCACTTAAAATATGTTGATTTCAAAATGTAAAACAAGTTGGTTACCTTTTTCCAGATCAGGTTTCAGTGTCGGTGTCAGCAGAAATTCAAACTACAGTTCATCACTTTAAATAACAGGTTGTTGCTCTTTTTCTTTCTTTCTCCTAATTATTCATTTTTAAGCATTACACATCTTCCCATCTCCTTTACAGCTACAGCTTTACAAACCAGACTGAAAACCTTTTGATTTCAGTGAGGTGTAATTCCCTTCATCCGATCAATATTACTGTAAGGAAATGGGAAGTGAAACTGCACAGACATACCTCAACTTCTCCAGTCATCTTTGTCGAATACTTGCAGGGTAGTAACCCGCGGAAGCTAATTATGCCGTACTTAAATGCCAAGGCTACTCCTGCTATTAACCCTGCTCCACTTCCTTGTTTGCCTGAAAGAACAAAGAAGCTACAAATATATGTAAATATATCTTTCCTCCCTCGGTCGCCCTCGACACGTTGGTACGGTCTCTGTCACTTTTCTGTGGATCAGACAAAATCAAAACAGTAACAGAAGCCAAAGTTTACGAATGTTTATTTTACAAAAGAAGAGCTAGAAATGATGTAAACAGAGCTTTATAGATCAATCTAAATTGTGGATTTTTTTTTTTTTTTTTTGTTCTTTTTTAATACTGTGTGGATGGTGGCGGTCTTTGAAGAGGCAGCAGAACCAAGTGTTTATAGTACAGATAAAAATCATCTGAGTTCTGAGAAAAACGAATGTCAAAGATCAACTTGACACAGAAATCCGAGTGCAGAGGATGAGATGCCTCAGAGGCGGCTTGCTGGGGATGGGTGGGAGGGTGGAGGGGGTCTCGTTAGAGCGGTTCTGTTTACAGCTTGGGCATCCTGGCAGCATTGAGGCGCATGGACACACAGGAGGAGCCGGCAGCGTAACGCATCTCCCTCAGCATGCCACTCCACTGCTTCTTATCATCCTCGAACCTAACGCAGCGAGAGAGAGAGAGAGAGAGAGAGAGGGGAGAGTCAGACCTCAGAACGACCACAGCGGTAAACAGGGAAAACACGTCTCGATCTTACAGTTTCCCATAAGTTGAGAAAGACTTACTGCCAGACGTCGGTGACCTCTGTAGGAGCCACCTCCTTGTTCTCCATCTGAATCATAGCGAAGCCGCCCACCGCGTACAGAGAGCCACTGTTGCTCACCAGGTTGACAGAGCTCCTCTCCTGGGGAAACTCTGTGAAGGGCTCCCACCTGAGGAGACACGACATTAGGAGAAGGTCAAGTGTAAGATGGAGTTGCCTTTTGTACCTTGGTACATTTGTTGAGCTGCTGTTGAGATATCTGAGACATATGAAATAAATAATACTAAAAAAATGTAATTGTTGAAACTCATTTCATTGTTATTTTATTTCATGTTTCTTATTCTTATTCGTATATTTATTGAAATTCAGTTTTTGGTTGTTATCTTTTTTTAGCTGCTGAGAACAACTGCTTCTGCTAATTTAGCCAGTTAGCTCCTGTTAGCTAACTGACTCGCTTTTATTTAGCGAAACAAAGCTCAACATGCTATCTACCTAGCTAGTTGTTGTGAACTTGGATTATTACTCAGCATCAAAGTGAAGAACCAGTGAAATAGCCAAGTCGAGTCTGAATTAATAAGCTAGCTGTGTTTTGTTTTCTGAAGAGAAAGACGAAGAATTCATGATAAGAAAAACAGTATTTATCTAGCCAACGGAAGCTAGCTAGCTAGCTGGCAGTTTGTTAGCTTGCTGGGTGGAAGCATGACAATTTCATCATAACATCTTTTTAAATAACTGGTTGAATTATTTCATAATTTTTGGTGTAATTATATGTTATATATGTATTTTATGTCTGCAATTAATCCATATGTTCCTGAAAACCGGGGGATATGATATCTAAATGTTTAAATGTTATATATATACACATTGGTTTAGACTGAATCATACTTGTTTGTTGTGAAGTCGTAGGTTTCACATGTGGCGATGAGGCCTTCCTCATTGACTCCACCCGCCACCACGATCTTGCCGTTGTGGATGACGGCTCCGAACATGGCTCTGGGAGTCTTCATGGCTGCCATCTCCCTCCACTCTGACTGCTTGTGGTTGTACGCAAACATCTTGTTGAGAGCTTTGCTGTGGGCACACAGGGAGGAATACGGTCGTAAAAAAGATGTAATCATTTGGAATAAACTGATTTGTAAATATGATTACCACAGTGTTTATATTTCCCCCCAAGACGTTTAAGCAAAAAGACGAATCACAGATAAGAAATAAGAAAAAAAAAAGACTAAATAACCAGTTTTACATACATATACACATAAGACAGCTTGGTTTTTTGGTCCATTTTATTATCACAACATATAGAACGGGGCATGATGAAAGCAACACAATGTAATTTGGAATAATACTGGATTTAATTGATTGAAAACATAATCCGTTCAAGACAGACAATATAAAGTCTCCACAAGATGACTCATCTGGACACAGCAGATTAATACTGTTTATATTACAGATAGATGGAATTATTCAGCTCAAATTTTAGACAATTTATATGAGATTAGATAAGAATGCGATATTTTAAATCTCCATAATCTCAGTCTATGATTAGGAATATGATGCATTTTTGTTGCGTGGTTTGATGTGAATGTGCACATACATTTGGGACTGCCCCATATTATGTATTATGATTTTGGGAGAGAGTAAATTGAGATAAAAGCTGTTTTTTTTATCATATATACATATATTTTTTTATACTATTGCATAATTCCTTCATAAACCTATGTTTTAAAAAAAATACTTATTTTTATTCATCTTATACGTCTTTTTGTGTCATGTTTTTCGGGCTTAATCAGTCATTTTCCTCGTGGAACTTGTGGATGACGGCGTTAACAGAAGAAGCACACGTTTCCTTTTGTTGTCCCCTACGTTATAATATTAGATCCTATGGTTTGTTGACCTTTATGTTTTGTGTATCAGTGGATCACACTGCTGCACGCACAGCAAACGTATTGAAGATCACAGTATGTTACGTTCGACGCGACACAAGTCTCAGGCAGAGGAAATGAGCAGATCCTGTTTTCTCTCTGTGACACAACAACAGTTGCACAAGGTCAGTGTTTTCCATTATATTAACATATCAGACCGTCCCGGACTGCAGCAGTGTAATTGTTGTCTATAACGTGCCATGCAGCCCTGCAGTCTGTCAGGATGATAGACTACAAACAGCTGCAGCTCACTATGTAGGGTCACACACACACACACACACACACACACACACACACACACAGACTCATTTACTCACCTATCATCTGTCTTCCCTCCAATGCAGTAGACCATTCCTTTGTGGGAGACGACAGCATGGCCGTGGATCTTCAGAGGAAGCTTTTTGGTCTCACTCCACTTCATCTTGCTAAACAAAATAAATAAATAAAAAGGACATTTAAGTTAATTCATTCAGTGTTATTTTGTTTCCTTTAATTTCTTGCTGATGCTTTGCTCAGATCTTCAGAGCACAATCAATCTGTATTAAATAAATTAAATATTCTAATACAAACAGAGGAGAAAACATCTCTATAATTACTGAACCAGAGCAGATTAAGAGGGTGAGATCACATCAAACGATGATTAATTATACATAAACACCACATATTACCTTTTTTTTTGTTTTTTTTTTTCCAAAGGAAGCAATTTTGTTAATTTCCTCAAGTTAATTATCACCTGGAAACTTTACAAAAGGTGAGGCAGTGAGAAACAAAGAAAATAGGGAGGCTAAAAATAGCGATGAAGCAAATGATATCACTAACTCAACATCGTAGCACATCACAGAATCCAGTGACTCATTGGTCTGGAGGTCTTTTCCGGCTATGGCGAACAGGAAGTTCTCGCTCTCTCCGATGTTGAAGAGGCATCTGGGAGAAGGCATGGGCGGCAGCGCGACCCAGTCAGAAGAGAGAGGATCCAACTGTGGAGAAAAAAATAAAGCGGC